AAATAAACATCCTCAAATGACATCATGAACAGTATACAGCCCTCAGCTTCAAAAAGAGACATCTAATGCCCCCGTAGAGTGTGGTAAGGAACTTTAATGACATTACAACTTTCATGACATTACAACAAAATGCATACGCCACGCCTATTCAAACAGAGCGTTCCGACGAGGGTGGTTAAAAACAGGACAGAAAATAGCTTATTATAAATTATGATGTTTTTTGATGTAAAAATCTTAATAACATTATAAGTGGACCTCAGAGAACAGTACAAAATAAAAAACAAAGGCAGTTCATGACACCTTTAAAAATCTGTTCAAATTTTACCAGTTGTTTAGTTTATTCCAACCTTAAGCATCTTGATATTTCAGCTCATGTTCAGAGAAGCAGGATAAATATTTACCTCACAATGTGTACCATTGGGATTGTTGCTACTACGTGGATATATTTGGAATTCTCCACAAGCATTTATACAGTATTCATATAAACGATTAGTTGATCATCAATGGTAATGAAAATCGATTATTAATATTCCTGAGAATTTCCATCCATAATTTTGCGTGCTGGCATTTTCAAGTGGCCCAGTGTCAGTCATGTGATTTATGAGCCCTCTCTCATTGTCTCATGGGATTTCAAAGCATCTATTGGATGCACACTTCAGAATCTCGGCAGAAATCATCTGGGTATTTTTCACCTACAGTTCTATGAATACTGTAAATTTAGATTTAGTCTTCATTTCGCATGTATTACACTAAATTATTAGTTTGCCCTCTGACATTCTTATAACATGTAGCATAAAATCTATAAAGCATTCAACAATATAAATTTGAAACAAGGTTAAGGTTCCAATGCAGCCAGCAGACATTCAAAAATTCTTCCCAAAGTGAAATTTACCTCCAATTATTGGTGTTGAAATACATCTTACCTCTTCCTCATTCATCAAGGCATCTGGCTGAGCCAACCTATAGAGGCAGTCATATACTGGATCCACAAGGGCCACAAGAGGAGCATTGTTCACCTAAAAATAAAACATCATATAAGCAAGTCTAAAACCTTGTGGAGGAAATAAATAAATTAATAAATTAATAAATAAATAATAAATAATTAAAAATCTTACTAGCGAGTGAGATCTTTTACCTTGATGTAATCAAATATGCCGCAGATAAATGTGACCAAACCGCACCGAGCGGTTTCGAGTCTCCTCTCTGGCAGTGAACTCTTGCTGTAGATGTGTCAACAGATTTCGCCTGAATACACTGGGTGCAGCTTTCTGAGCTTCTGCCTGTTTAGAAAAAGATTATTCACCATGTAATAATAATAAAAAAGTTTCAATAGAGGTTCATTTCATACTGTGTGTTATTGTAGACGACAGCAGCAACAACAACAAAGATGTAGGTTCATGAAAACCTATGTTTTTGACTAGGTCACAAATGAGCAACATAAGAAAGACTTACCTGAACTACAGCATAACACAAGCGGCCCAGCATCTTTACAGAATGAGATGTCTTTCAATGACTGGACTACAACTGCGTTAGACAGCTTCTCCAAATCAACTGACTTGGGATCTGTGAAGAAGTGGTGTAAAACAAGTCATTTGTTATTTTTAAGTGCTTAGCCTGCAGAACGAAGCTAATGGCATGCTACTTCAAAATCCTGCCAATGCATTTTAATGAACGATCAGAGAATGTCAGGTAAAGTTTACATGCATACCGGCAATCGCTTTTTGAAACATTGTCTGAGTTACAACATCAAGAGCCGTCCAAGCTGAATCCATGCTGCTCGGAATTAGAAATAATATAAGGTAATCAGGACAGGCACAGACAAGCGATAAACAAATTTATTTATTTAACAAATAAATAAATATAAAATCACGTGCACTGCATGACAACAAAACAGAACATGACAAGGTTCGCTCGTATGCATTGGTAATTTTTCTGATTTTTGGCAGTTTTCAACTGAGCACAAATTCTAGCTTCGTTGAAAGAACGAGTTTATGTCAAAACATTACAAACTGACACGTTTCTAATATCACACTATCACTTCAAACGATGCACGGGGAATCCTCGCGCTTGTTTGATTCGTTTCCTGGTGGCGTGGGATTGACCAGTGCGCATACGCTTTTGGCCGAATTCCGTTATTTTGGTGGATTTCAGCACTGACATGCACCACCATGGCTTGTATTATCTTACCATAATGCTCTTGAAATGAACTAATTTGTATTCGAGTATTATTTAATATTTGCACAATTTCTGTAAACTCTCAATATTACTGGTTATCTGTATGCAGTACTTAAAAAAAAAAAAACGTTATTTTGCAAGCTGTCACTAGGGGGCGACAAAGTAACAAGTAAGAACGTAGAGGTTGTTGGTGGAACCAACCGAGACAAGAGAAAAAGTGTCTGTCGGAATTGTCATAACGTTATAGTAATGGAATTGAACATTTTATGCTACTGTGTGTTTATATGATTTACATGTTGCTCACAAAAACTTATTTTATGTGGACAGAGTTGTTGTCAGTGAAAGATTTAACTGAGAGTCCTGTAGTAGGTATAGCGTCTCTTTTTTTGTCAACCCAAAAATAACTAGTAGAGGTATCGGACACTCACTCAAAAAAAATAAAAATAAAAAATAAAAATAAAATAAAATAAAAGCAGTCACACTACTATTTTATTGTTTTCCTCTGAATTCTGCGTATATTGTAATACTATATATTTTTTTTTTGATCTGAGATACCGGACATGTAGAAATAATGTCATGTAAACTACACAGGACATAATCACTGTGAAACACACACAGGACATAATCACTGTGAAACACACACACACACATGAACACTTAAGGGGGGTAAATGTTATTAAATGTATTTCACTCATAATCTACATTGTGCAGGTGTACATAAACTCCAGCATTATGAAACTGCACTATTCAGACAGCAAACGGATGCCATGTATATTTCTATTGTTGAGGTTTACTGCAGCTGATGAAATGGTTTAGTATCAACATAAAACAATTCCATTATGACACAGATGTATATACACATCTCATTTCTAAGTGTACAAGCAACACAACTCATCATACATCAAACATTTAAAAAAATTTATTGAATTTGAATAAAAATGACCTTGACAAGTAGAAAGAAACTGAATGGCTACAAGTCTTTGATGTATATTAGCTTTCCACTTTTAAGATAAAAAAATAATTCAGCATTCAAAAGTGGCTTACAGATGCATACACTTGATTGTTTTCTTTTAGTAAACCAGGGCCACATAAAGAAAAATTCAAACTCAAAAACAGAAACAAAAATAAACATCCTCAAATGACATCATGAACAGTATACAGCCCTCAGCTTCAAAAAGAGACATCTAATGCCCCCGTAGAGTGTGGTAAGGAACTTTAATGACATTACAACTTTCATGACATTACAACAAAATGCATACCATCTGAGCAAGTTCAGCCCTTTGTCAGCACAGTTATATGGCATCATTCTAGATGGCACAAAGTCCAGATCATTGAATTTTGTTCACTACTAAACGTCAGACATTTTTTTTTCCACACAAAAAAAGATCTGTACAAGTGCACTGGGAAGTTTTACTGGAAATATCTTTATTCGGTTTAATTTATTCAGGAATAATATAGAGTAAACAACATACTCTATGAAAATCCCCAATAGAATCACATACCCAGTACCATTTTAAAGGGCTTCATGAAATGCTCCAAATTTGTTACATTTGATCACTGATCTGCTACAGAGGCTTTGGCACCATTACATTATTTTCAAGCTATTTTGATTTAAAGGGACAGTTTACCCAAAAATATCAATTTTGGTATCACCTTCGTGATGTTCCAAACCTGCAACACAAATACCCATATTCTGAACACGTTTTGAATATTTCTTCTACAGAAAAGATTTGTACACATGTGGAACAAATGAGGATGAGTACATAATGTACTCATCAATATGTCCTCTTTTTCCCAGACATGTCCTGGCTGGGATTTCTAAGTTGCCTAAATTATCCAAGTCAAAGGTGTGTTTGGCTTGAAGAGGTGCTGTGTAGACTGCTCTGTGTTTGACATCAAAGTACCGCGAGAGCTATAGAGAGCAGATGCTCAGCATGCTGTCGAATCACTCTCGCGGTACTATGTTGTCACATATATATATATATATATATATAAATATGTATATGTAGATGCCTCATTAGCAACTGTTTCCATGGGCCGCTATACGTAAGCCGTCCGCCATATTGTAATGGTCAACTTGACATCATTCACCATAGTAATCAATGAATATTCGAAGATGCATGCATCCTGCACAGCCGATGGTCTGCGAACCCATAGTATGGTGAATGACGTCAAGTTGACCGTTCCAAGATGGCGGATGCGTCTATGTGCTTGGAGCGGTCGAATGGGGCATCTATACACATCTATGTTCACACACCGATCGGTCCGCACAGCTTAAAGCCAAACACACCTTTTGCCTTTGTTTTCTATTCGTTTCATACTTGCTGAAATTAAACTAATAGCATGTAGGGATTGTACATAATCGACCAATCACGGCATGTGAGAAGGTTGGATCTACAGAGAACGGTCAAACCAATGCACATCTTAGACAATTTAGAAATCCCGGCCAGGACATGTCCAGGAAAAAGAGGATGTACCCTAACATAATGACAGAATTAAAATTTTTGGGCGAACTATCCCTTTAAGACAAAAAGACGACTACATGTAAGTTAATTTGACTATGGTATGGAAATGAAATTATATGGCATGATGAAATTATGCTTGACAATCCCACACCAAATAACATAGTAACACTACTGAACTGAGCTGGATTATGACATCACTTAATTCAATGATGAACTGCCTTTAACTGAAAAATGTGTGTTTACTATTGTCACTTTGCATTATTGACACACTATTTTCCTAATTAATGCTGTACAGTTGCTTTGACACAATCTGTATTGTTAAAAGCGCTATATAAATAAAGGTGACTTGACTTGACTACTTCTGGAAAGATGACAAAAGACGAATACAAAAATTAAGCATGAAACATGCGTGATGCATTTTAACAATACAAATCAAGCATAACATGGTGTTTAAAATAAATCCTGATGCAAAACTGTACCAGTATTGTGATTGTGATATTGTGAATTTCCTTCACATAAAATAACATTTTTCGTTAGTACAGCTGATGTCATATAACATGAAATAAAGTTGCATATAAAGCAAAGCTGATGTGAAACAGTACATGAACGAAATATCAGTCTGGAGCATTCTTCCTCACACAGCCAATAGTGCTTCTTAAAATGTCAACCACTCCAAACAGCACAGTCTTTATTTTACCGGCCAATCGACATCGACGTCACCAATTGAGCCTTTTCTCTCCATCACTCTGTGGTTTCTGTTTCCATGGCAACCCAGCTGGATGTCCACAGGTGCTTTAAGCAAGCAAACATTTTCTCTGCGAGTTACATGTTTTGATTGACAGGTGTGACATAGTTGCGAGGGAACATTCCGGTCTGTCCGTGACAAGCCCCCTTCCACCAATTAGGATCAGAGTTGTCCAGGACCTGGATAAAATCTCCACGCCTGAAACCCAGCTCTCCATCCTCTTGAGGGTCAAAGTCAAACAAAGCTTGAACATATGTAGAATGCTGTGAAACAAAAGTAGACATGTTGAGAATTATGGCAATATTGCCTTGAATGTGGCTTAAAGTCTGGCTGTATACTGTATATACACTGAACAAAATTATAAACGCAACACTTTTGTTTTTGCCCCCATTTTTCATGAGCTGAACTCAAAGATCTAAGACTTTTTCTATGTACACAAAAGGCCTATTTCTCTCAAATATTGTTCACTTACCTTCAGAAAATGTAGTCAATCTGAAGAAGCTAAATATATATTTATTTAAACATTTAAGCTCTTACTCATAAGCTCTTACTCCTTAGAGGATAGAAATCTCAAATGTTGGTTTCAAGTAATTAATAAATTTACTATATAAAAGTTCAACATAAAATATTTTATACTTTCTTCCTAAAAAAGTGGAATGCTGTTCACACTACAATGCGGGGGGAAAAGTGTCACAGTTTTAATTAAGGGTCAGTTTTTACTGAGGAGAAAATCACTTCATAGCAGGGTGACAACTACACACAACAGTTTTAATAAATAAATTAATATAAATTAAATAAATTAGAGTAAAATAAATTTATCTTAAAAAATTGCTTTTTACTACGATTTATATCAAAGTTTTTATATATTTTTTATATAATTCACAATTTTAATTGTTGGATATAGTCTAAAAGGTGGGACAGAAATACGGCATTTGTGCATTTAATGTTTTAAAAATAAAACCAAAGTGTAACACAGTATTTGTGAAATGTTTCAGCACTGATTCAGTCCTACCTTTGGTACCTGTTCAATGTCCCTGAGGAAAATGGGCTGATTCCTGGACACCGAAGTGGACCGATGATAATCCACTAAAGAGTTTAACGAGTTAAATTTGACCACCCACAAGAAGTATTTTCCTGCTCCATCCCGTAAGACTTTGAAGTGCTGGACATCATTCCCAAATCTACAGGAAAGGGGAAAAAACACAGTGTTTAGAAAATTACATAATAGCCGGCTGCATTTATAACACTTGGATATTGAAATTATAGTAAAGAACTCTGCACTGTTCAGTTGATCATGAACCCTAAGGTTTGCAGCTATCTGTGGAGAACTATTTGAATGATTCACACAGTGTTGGCCTAGTTTAGAAACCACACAAAAAGAATTTGCAATAACACATAAATAAAGTGCTGAGAACGGCCATATTTTGTGCTGCATTGCATCAATTATTCATTGACATGCCCCTATTTACAAGAACAGATTCAATTACTGCATCAAAATTTCAAAAGCAGCAGCCTGCATTAGTGTTCATTACTAGAACAGTCACATACAAACTGGCAAAACATTAGAATAGAATAGAATAGAATAGAATGACAAATACATACTTGACAGACAGCGAGAAGTCTCCAGGTGCACTCTCACTCTCTCTAATGAGAAAAGCTCCATCGTGTCTCTGTTTATTTAACATTTCTTCTGCCTTTGCACGGGGAATCTTCCCATAAAACCAGCTGCGTGTTCAGAACAAATCCAAAAGCAGTAGTTTAGATACTTTGTAGAATGCACTGAGTACATTCGAATTTTGAGAATGCAAAGCAGCTATGAGACTGGGAAACTTGTGTAATATAAGTGTCCGTGGGTCTGGTGGATGGACAGTAGTTGAACTTGAGTATTAGAAATACAGAGTGTTTATTAGATTGTATACTAGTATACTGTATATTAGAAAGGTATTTTTTTCTAAAAGAGGTATGGACTCATAACTAAATTGGTACTAAATAGGACGTTACATTGACGTTATGTAACAATAACTCTGCAAAGTTTGGCATACTGAACAAAAAAGAAACAACTAAAGACAGACCTTCAACAGAAAAATTCAACAATGTATTTTTAAATATGGTTTATTGCATTATTTTCCTCCATTTACTAACATTGAGGAAATGCAAGGTACTGTTCACCCAAGCATGACAATTCTGCTATGTTGTTCCAAACCCACTTGGAAGACTTTCATTCAGTATTTTTTATGAAACCTGAGAGATTTCTGGCCCTTCATTGTCCATTACACCAATACAGTGATGTTTTTTTGTTTGAGGCGTTGAAAACAAACCTCACTCGTTCTTGCAGAAGCTCTTGTTTGACAAGTGAGAACAAACCTCACTGTTCAAGCAAGTATGGATGAGCTACTGGAAAAAACTCGATTAAATCTGTTCATTATATAAAATGACTGCCTTTTTAGACGACTTGGATTAAAATGCTTGATTCACACAGATTACTTTAATGATGGATTTATGCATTTTTTGAAGATTCAGTGTTTTTTTTTTTTCATTTGTCTTTTAAAAATGAGCAAAAGTCTTATGGTTTTGGAGTGACAGGAGAGTAATTGACAACAATAAAAATTTTTGGAAATTTTTTTTCTTTTAATATATATATATATAGTTTTTGTTTACATAATATATGTGTGTACCGTGTATATTTATTATGTATATATAAATACACTTGCATGTATATATTTAAGAAAAAATATGTTATGTTTATATATTAAATATATTTATATATGATATAATTTATATGAATATAAATATATACATGTAAATATTTTCAAAATATATGCTGTATGTGTGTCTTTATATATACATAATAAATATATACAGTACACACACATACAGTATATTATGTAAACAAAAACTTTTATTTTGGATGCGATTAATCGTGATTAATCATTTAACAGCACTAATATATATATATATAGTCTTTTTGTAACTAAAAGAGCAAATACTTACGGGTGTGGCTTCATTTCTATGTAATTTTTAGGAATGAATCCTTCTTTTCCATTGAGTTCTGCCTTGTACCAGTTCTGGTCACATTCTTCATTTAAAATCTGATGGGAAAACAAAAGACACTTTAATACTTGACCAGCATGGTGTCACTACACAGTGTCCACACAGTAAACACCACCAATCAGCCCACTTATCTCAGAACACAGAGGACCTAAAGAGGTAATCGTATCACTGGCTGTGGTGTTTAAAACTCAAGGCCTTGCTCTATAAATAGCATACAGGAAATATCCTTCATTTCAACTTTAAGCCACACATAACATCCTGTATACATAAGACTTCTCTGGCACTAATGAGAAATACATTGCGCACAGTCTGTTTAGTGGAATTCCAAAACTGAACCAGATGGATTGCGCAAAAACATGTGGGCAATTAGCATCGGTCCTGATGGCCAGGATTTGATGTCTCTTTCATAACTGAAGTACAATGCTGTACCCACAATGATACCATCTGTGGTAATGATGACCATCCCCATCAAATATGAAATGAAGAAAGGATTACATTACTGCACTGTGTTCCATCTCAGAGGTGAAGGGCCGAAACAGATGAAGTGGACAAATATGAAAAAGCATCACTTTATGTGATTACTTTAGACTCAAAGACACTCTCTCAGTCTTGCTTAAGTCAAGTATGTTATGACACATCCGTCTAAGATAAATGGGAATCCTATCCTATAGCCTGGAACATTCTCAAAACTCTGAAAGATGGTCTCCCCATCCCTTTTCTCTCTGTAAACAACCATTAATCTGCTCTCACTCCCACCGCGCCACGGTGCCTCTTTTCTCTGCCTTCAAGAAAAATAGAGTGACATTATAAACAAGCCAAGATGTCAAATTCCAATTATAAAAAAGTGGGAAAGTAGGTCTTGATAACTTCTGGATGGGAGAAATGAATACAGCTAATCTCAGTTATAAAGACATTAGGCTATATATATATATATATATATATATATATATATATATGTATGTATGTATGAAGAGTCTATTTGCAAAAACCAATAAACGCCACTTTAAAAAAAAAAAATTCTGAATGGATCGAGCGATTTGTGCTGTTTATTTATCTCTTATCGTGGCGGAAGCGCAGCGCTGTGCGGGAGACTGATCCCGCTCTGCTTTAACGCGCGGTTGGCGGATGCAGCGGGTAGCGCCGCTTCACACTTTTGGAGTATTAATATGAGGTCTCCCTCGCTTCGGCGATCGACCCACCGGGAATGTCCCGGTGCTCCCGATGGCCCTGCATATACCTAAACCTACCCGTCTCCACCCCGATCCCTAAACCCACCCATCTCCACCCCTAAACCTACCAATCTCAAGGCTGCTTTCACTTTGAAAAGACCTGCTAGCTGAGAGGAGTTTCGTCAAAGCTAACTAAACGTGATCGAGGATGGATTATTTCGACGAACTTGATGAACCTGTGATATCTTCTTCAGGGCGTAAAGGAAAATAAAAGCTGAAACTTTTTCACGGAACCTTGCAAAAGCAGTGCTTTACAATGGTGAGGGAAAAGCTCTGTGTATTGCGTGTAATCACATCCATACAGTCTATGATCACAACAACAACGTTTGTCAGGCATTTACATTGCCATCTGAAGAGATTACAAAGATTAAACGAGTGTTTTTTTTTAACTCTAAAACATGAAATGTGGAGTTATCTGCTTTTGCCAAAAACGACTGTTGGAGTTATCTGCTCTTGCTATAAAACAGAATTTTCATATGTAAAAAAAAAAAAACCATACTTTCAATTAACTTTAATTCTGTAAATTACCTGTATTTAAGTTATTATTACTTAATCAAAACAACCCAACTGCAGTTTGATTTATCCTATTACTTGGAATGCACAATAAAAAAAACGTGATTTCTGAAAATAAATAAAAATGGAGTTATCGGTTTTTGCAAATGAACTCTTCATATATATATATATATATATATATATACATATGTTTATATTGGTCATAGTTCTATGAAC